TATACTTAAATACATACATACATACATGCCTATAATATCAATGTAATATCTAATAATAACAGCATAAACAATTTTAGCACTTAAGTAAATGTCGCCTAACTGTCTATTTTGCTATATTAAATCATAATAAACATAAAATGAATAATGAACAAACCAAACTAGCTGTTGAACTAATCTACTTGATTGAGTACGAGCAAAGCCGTTAAAGCAAGTTTTATGACCAAATATGATGCAAATGTTGCGCGCGACCACTTGCTAGCGACAACAAAAGGGCTCTCACAACTGCAGCACACACTTATACCACTGTGTACAACGCCTTAACACATGCACACACACACACACAAACACAAACAAATAATGTTCATATACATATGTATACAGCTGACACACATGCGCCAGCAACAACTCAAACACACACTCATAGCCGAATGCAACTACTTCAACTTACGCACAGTGAGCGACCGCCGCTGCTAAATACAAGCGCATTTTCTTACCAAACTTTTTTGCATTTTCAATCTTTTTAAAATAAACTAAGTTTTTAACGCTAATAACAAACAAAGTACTATATTTAATATGTAACAATTAATTAAACAAATAATAATACTAAAGAAATAAAACTTAAATTAAAAATGTAATCCTGCCAAGAAACAATTGACCTGCTTGAAGAAAAAACCCGCTTTTTGCTAAATGATAAATTAATATAAAAGACAAATTATAATTATATATAAATATATGAAAAAAGCATTACTTCGACACGATTTTGAGAGAAAAAACCGAAATTCCGTAGCAAAGCGATTACGCTGTACTAATATACAATTATAAAAGGATATATGAAATCGAAATCAGCAAAAGTTAGACGCAATTATTACATAGTACATACACACATACAACTAATTGCAGAGCAAAGCTAATCACCAGCATACCAGTAAAGACTTTTTGCATGTTTGATAAACCTTATACCAGTATACATACATACATACATACATATATATACAATATCACTTGCATACATATATTTAAGAATACTTACTGAAATTAAAATTAAACAAAAATTTAGACCAAAAACGAAAATGAACAAAAGGCAGCAAGACTTATATAGCATTCCAAACCATATAAAGGGATTCAAATTTATTTTCTAAAACGAAAACTTCATTATTTCGCAAAAAGCGTAAATAAACATAAAAAAAGACTAAAGATTTTTTTATTGTTATTATTTATTATTATTTACAATATACAAATTGACTCTCAAGCAATTACAAATATTTGTATAAAGTAATTTTTCCTAGTTAAAAAACAATATAAATATAATATACTTTTTTTTAAATTAAAACACAATGTCAATACAGTATCTATTTTTCGAAAATACAATTTTTTGTTGCAATGTACATATGTATAGTCACCTGGAATGCAAAATAACGTAACATCAAAAAATTCGAAATTGAGTGTCTTATTGATTACGATTCACTACTTCAAATTACATACATAACATTACATATGTATATTTTCAGGTTCTGCCCTCAGATATAAACCAGTTGTAACCAATATTAACATTTTTTCACTCATGTTCCATTTTATTTTGTGTTTCATGCATGCCACTGTAAATTTCCGAAAATGTTGTTACGTTATTTTGCATTTCAGGTGGCGATATACATATATAATTGAGTTATTCCGAAAATTTGTAAATTTGAAAAAAAATTCTTTTAAAGCGCAAAACAAAAAGAAAACTATAAAATAAACTTACAAAAAAAAAAAAGATTTATATGTAAAATATACACCCACACTTGCTTCAAGCTGATTATTGAAGAATCTGCTATATTACAATGATTATTACATTTCCGATCACAGATCACAAGCTCATTTACATTCGGTCAAAATAATAAAGCACTGGTTTCAAAGCCAATGAACAGAATTTATGCAACAAGGAAAAAAAACAGTTAATAATAAAAAAATACAAAATAAGTAAAGTAAAAATGTATGTAAGAACGTCGAAAGATGCTTTGCGAAACGACTGAGAAATTATTATTTAAAATTATTCATTGAATTGTATATATTTTCATAATCATTATTATTTGATACGAAGTTCGTAAAACACAGTAGGAAATGTCGGAAATCCTATAAAATGTATACACATAAGTGAACAGTCATACAAACTGAATGCTCAAAATCAAGTTCTTGTATGGAAACCTTTTTCTTTTTTGGTGAGATATCTTCACGATTATTATTTTTTCAAGGCACAACAATTATTGAAGAAATTTTTTTAGATCGATAGCTGTCGTACAAACAGCAAGTTCTTGTATGGGAAGTTTTTGTTTGATGAGATATCTTCACGAAATTTGGCACGGGTTATTGTCCAAAGCAACTCTAAAAAATACAAGGAAATTTTTCAGATCGGCGCTCTTTAGCATACAGCTGCCACGCAAACTGCACGCTCAAAATCAAAATCTTGAATGGAAACATCTTTAATTGTGTAGGGTATTCAGCTTCGTCGCAACCGTAGTTTACGGTTTTTCTCGTTATTATTTACATTATTTTATTATTATTATTTACATATGTACGCATAAATACTTTTATATACTTAAAGTAACATTCTTCTATTCCTCCTTGTTATATGTTAAAATCATTATAATTATTCAATCAAAGATATTTGCTTGAGCCTGTGTGGGTGATTAGTAATCCTACTTGTAAAAGGGAAGCACAAATTTATTAAATACAATATATAAATCAATACAAATTTTACAAAGTCGTCAATCATTTAACATTACATCATTACTACCCAGTTTTAGATGCTTATATATAAAATAAAACGAACGAAAAATACCAAACATAACTTTTTAAGATACATTTTTAATAATCTAGGCAAATATTTTACAACACAGCTGAGTGCAAAGGTCATTCACATACATACATACACACACAAGTATTTAATATTACTTTCTTCAAATTTTGTTTGGCCAAAGTGCTCACAAATTGTGATTTCAAAGAGGCCGCCATATTAGAGCAATGTGTGGATTATATTTATATATCTTCAGTTTTACGAGAGAAAAATGAAGATTTTGTCGAATATTGCGTCAGAAATGTTAAATGTATAAATATTTTTTTTTAATTTTTAGTAGCAAAACTTCAACATAGAAATCTCCTGTGTAAAAATATGCAGCTCACCCAACACATATGCAAACAACACGCTTATATTTATACACACATTTGAAACACCTCCAAATAGATGGGAATTATAAATATGAAAAATAATAATAATACTAATAAAGTCATTCATTGGATGCACTTCAAAGGTTAAGGAGATCTAAGACTGTCTCTTATACACATCTAGATGTGTATAAGAGACAGCATTTGAAACACCTCCAAATAGATGGGAATTATAAATATGAAAAATAATAATAATACTAATAAAGTCATTCATTGGATGCACTTCAAAGGTTAAGGAGATCTAAGAAACATAATATAAATAGAAATATGTATATATATACGTATACAACTACATGCATATATATAGTAATAATGTAAATAAAAGTAATAATTTATGTACAGTAACATTTTGCATAAACACGCTTATGCACACCGCCAAGTCCACGAATATACTTACAAACATACATACACATGGTATGCGTTTGCGTGCAGCACATTTATATACGAAACATTTGTACTATATATACATACATACATACTCGTACATGTATGTATGCAAAGAAAAGCTTGAATAATTACATAAATAAAAAATAAATCAATAACATAGTGAATTAATAATAAAAATTATTCAATTTTAAATAAAAATAATACATACATACATGAAATTAATAAAGAAAATTTCGATTTTGCCGCATCCTACGAATCCATATGCCTAACACACATTTGTTAATAATATAATACATACTGGTACATACATACATACATACATACATATGATTATGCTATTTGTACTTCCACACAAACGAAAAAGCAGTGTGCGGGTGGCAAATGGTCGCATACCATCAGTAAACATTTAGTAAAAACAAAAACAAAAAAAAAAAAAAAATTTAAACGGATATGAAATTAATAAAACCTTGCATACATACAGAACTTTGTCAGTAACATGCTAAGTATGTAATAGTAACCAATTTTGGATCAAAACGTAAAAACTTAAATATATAAAATTGAAGTATGTATACACTAAATCGTATAAAACGACATACACTCAAGAAAATAATAATAAATAAAATAACATGAAAGCGAGAAGCGAAAAACACAATGTATAAGCGAAGAAGAAAATAAGATAATAATGATAATGAAATAAAATAGTGAATAGATTATCTTAAAAATAAAATTATTAAAAATATTAACGAATAATTTCACAAAATCGTGATTTGACTTTCATTTGTAGCTTTGTGTTGGGGGCAAATGTTTTATTCATTTCAATTAAATTGAAATAACGTAAAAATGCTATGAGAATGTTGTTGTTGTTGTAGTGACACAATTCTGCCGAGTTGAGAGTCCTTAGCTGGATATAAATCCGGGTCCGTTTCGGTTACGCGGACCCGACTGTCGTGGGAACGAGAATGGAATGGAGCGCATCACACAGCGTTGCGAATTTGTTAATTAAAAAAATTTAGCTTAAAAATCCCAAATCGGTACAAAAATCTGAAAAGGTATTTAAACCAAGTTGTTGGAGTTAAAAATAATTTTTTTTTTTTTAAGTTGACATTAAAAATTAGAATTTTAAAGACGGATTATAATTTAATTTATGATTTTGTAGTGTGAAATATTAAATTTTCAATTTTTCTTATTAAATTAAAATATAAAAATTTTACTATTAATTGAAAAATAAAATTTTGAATTTTTAATCCTATATTTGGGATAAAATTCATTTTTCTACTAACGAATTTCGGTTTAATAAGAAAATCGTCGTTTTTATATCCGCTTGAATGGCATTTAACATTCCACTACAACAAAAACAGAAATACTTTCAAGTTTAATACAATAATTGGCTTTTAAATAAGCCAATATCAACGGTTTTGCAATATATAACATTTTATTTTAAATTTCAATGTATCAAAAAAGCGTTAAATAATTTAGTTTCACATTTTGCAATATCAATTAAAGCACTTTATCACTGTATTGTGCGGTTTACTCCATCGAAAGCCTCATTTTTGTGGTCGCTTACATTTGGACGTGCTTCATAGGTGCAAATTGTTACGCCATGGTAATGTGACTCGCTGAACTCACCACGTAGGCCTTTGTGCAAGAAATGTGAAAAGTAAACATTTTTTCTTTGTAATTACAATATATTATCATATGCTCACCAATATAGTAAATTCGTGTCACATCGTCGCCGAAATTGGAAGGAAAATGCAAGGATAAATGATGCACCGAAGAAAATGTAACCACCCTGAGGATAGATGGAAAAATTATCAATCAATAAAATGTAAATAACCTAAAATAAAGTGTGTTGTAATATTATTAACTCATAAATTAGTAGTTTTATATATTACAATTTATTTTCCCAATTGATCCTTTGTACACCATATGTATTGTAAAACGATAATGAGCAAAACCCTTTTATCTCCATAAGCCGATTTTATTTCGTAAATATAATTAAAAATCTGACAGCTTTACATTTTGTAATGGTAAATATAGTATTCGTTATTATTATTTTTTTATTTTTTTTATTTTATAAAAGCTTACATAATAATAAAATTATTATACAAACTTAAGAAAATACGCAGCACTAGCATCATGGGCTATCGGCCGCTCATTTATTCATTATTTAATTGGACATATTATATAATAAATTAGTTATAAATATATATATATATATATACATATGAACTCTCTACTTACTTTGGTGAATATTCAATTTCTCCTTGGGGATCTCTTGTCAGTTCAAATTCTTGGTCAGCTTTGGCTCTTGCATCATCAAATGTCATTTTAGGACGATTTTTAAAACTAATTACATATTTTTGTTGTGCTTATTCGATAATTGAACATTCTGATTTTCGTTTACTTACAGTCTCACTTTGTTCGGATGTGTATTGTCATTAGCGCCCACAATTATAATACCTTTCAGCTTTATGTTACCGGTGAATGGTATGTTGAAGAGTAATTCTTCATCAGCATCACTTTGTACGAACTGTATTTGATGTAACAGAATTGATCTTTAAATTACATCTATTTAAAAAATTTAAAGACTTACATCCGCGTGATTCAACCGATTTTCATAAGCTTTGAAGACTTTCTTTCCGCTTCCTTCGATTTCCTCGTTCAGACATTCCAAATTGTCCATATCAATTTTTTTGAACAGTGAATATTCAATACCCATTTCCAAGGCATGATCGACATCAGTTGCTTCATGACCACAGTCCTGTCCGTGGTTGTGCGAGTGGCCGTGCGGCATTCTGTCTTATTTAATTAGCGTGTTTAAGTATTTTTATAAATTACTAATCACTTTTTCTTACAAACAAACAGTGCTTCTTAAATGCAATGTCCATTCACAATAGAACAATCACAGCTGATTTAATTTGCTGTGTAGTGATGTGTTTCTATCGGGTACTTTAAAAACTCATAGAAATGCTAAAAAGCTTCTACACATACATATGTATACTGTTATACAATTAGTTGAATCTTTTTGTAGAAATTCACAACATCACATTTTTATTTTTATTTTTTAGACTTTTATGAATGTCTATGAAATAAGAAACGTTTGGTTCATTATCTTGATTATATTTTATAAGGTTGTCTACATACCACAAAAGGTACAATTTGTCAAATGTTTTCATCGTGACAGATTGACCCAGGAAAGACTTAACAATACCGTCAGACCAATAAGCTTTTCTAAATATAATCATACATATTTGAAAAAGTGTTATTACCAAACCCAGAATTACTAAGAAATTAGAAAGTCATTCGAGCATAGAAAGAATTGTACAGAAATATCCTTGATGTACTCAGACATTCGATAAGGTGTGGCATGAAGAACGTTTATAACATACACGCCTCGCGACTTTTTTCTATTACTTACATTTCTAAATTCGTGAAATCATTCTAATGGAATATTCGAATCGGTTAATTCAAAAAAGTTATATAAACATATGAATCAGTTTTTAATATATGTAAATTAATCAAACACCAGGAGGTGGTAAACCCGATTCCCCAATCAATGATGATGGAGCGGTCGTCGCCTTACCCCTTTGAAAACAACGAAGCGACTAGGGCCGAAGGATTTCTGGCCGAGCTATTCAAATACGGTGACAAAGAACTGATTGAAATTTAAGTGTGTTCTGTCCAATCGACTTAAAGGGGACTGCCTCGATATCTGAGAAGGGTATCCCCACAAAACTAATATACCGTTAGTTCTGCTTTCTCCTGGTTGGACAAAAAAAGCGAAGCAAATGGGTCTGGTATTGAACGAGGATAAGACGAAATATCTCCTGTCTGCAAACAAACAGTCGTCGCACTCACGACTTGGCTCCCACGTCACAGTTGACAGTCATAACTTCGAAGCCGTAGATAATTTCGTTTATCTTGGAACTAGTGTTAACACAATCAACACCGTCAGACTCGAAATCCAACGCAGAATAACCCTTGTCATCAGGTGATACTTCGAACTGAGTAGGCAATTTAAAAGACCTCTCTCGACGAACAAAAACCAAATTCTTCAATTCACTCATTATTCCCGTTCTGCTATATGGTGCAGAGGCATGAACGATGACAATATCTGATGAGTCGACGTTACGTTTTAGAGAGAAAGGTTCTGCGGAAGATTTATGGAAGTGGATGAAACGATGAGGTGAACGAGATACATGACGACATTGACATAGTTCAGCGAATTAAGAAACAGCGGCTAGGTCATGTTGTCTGAATGGACGAAAATACTCCAGCTCTGAAAGTATTCGCCGCAGTGCCTGAAGAGGGAGACATTCACTGCGTTGGAGGGAGCAGGTGGAGAAGGACCAATCTATAATTGGAACCAAACAGCGAAATGGAAGAACGGCTGCCGCGCTGTTGTAAACTCGGCTATAACCACTTAAGCGCTAGACACCGCCAATAAAAAAGTAGAAGATGTTCTTATATTAAACTAAAAAATGTCAAAGTTTTGTGCATTTTTGGATTGACTTTTAAGTACGGAAATAAGTCCTTTCTTTCTTCATGCTATAAACAAGTATCAGCGTTGGTTTTATCTTTTTTATTATTTTATTATTTATATTATGTTTTGTTTTATTGTTAACAAACTATCGAATTTCGTGTTAATATAAAATTGTTTACTTAATATTGCTACAGTTATAAATTCATGTCACAATTGGAGATACTCTCCGTCGCACATTTTCAGTTTGCCGTTTGACATTGCCAGCACATTTCTGGTTCGAGATATTATGTAATTGAGTTTTGGAATATTTTTGTTTATTTGCCATTTTTTACTTTCACAATTTTTGTTCTAATTTTGCATCAATTTTATGTATATGACGATATGTTAATGTTGTTGCCTAAAGTTTTTAGCAGAATGTTTTCTAGCCTTTCGTCTTCATGCCCTCTCAAGTACTACTACTATAGTTATATAACATGTGTTTGTGTATGCTATGACATACTATTAGAGAAATCCATTGAATCACTAATGCGAAGCACAAGGAAAGTTTCCACACTACTGAATGAATTTTTAGCAGATTTCCTAATTTTTACTTGATTTTAATTGATTATTTCTTATTAGATTTACACGATTAGCTTGCTTATGAGTTTAAAAATTTCAAGTTCATGCTCTCGAATTGCTAATAGTTTTTTCCTCATATAAATTTGTAGCTATGGACCGCGAATTATCTGATTTTATATAGTCTGTTGTGGTATACTTTTAAATTTCACTCTTCGTTAATTTGCTTTAGCATCTCTCTCCATCCAGTATGTTTTAATTAAATACGCACTTCATTTCACAAGATATCGATTGAAAATTTACAAACTTATATTAATAAAGGTTCGAGCGATAACATAAAATTAACAAAATACAAATCAATCTATACACAGCGGCGTTGATGGGGCCTGCTCCTTCTCCTCCTTATCCTACTTGGCGCCACATTTGCCGTAATAATATGTATGTACGCATATTTGCTTCCCGAAAATATAACCTCAAATACTACGTATTGTTGGAATACTCCTTATTTTATATATGTTTTAACCAATGTAAATAATTTGAATTTTATTAAAATTAGCATCTATTGTGGAAGTTCAAAAATCTGGACGGGTAGTGCCTTCGGCGTTATAATCTCGTCATCGAACTCGTCATCCTGATCACCAATAATGTAGTCGCCATTTCGTTCTGCCGTAAAAAAGAGTGAATTGAAATGAGAATATTTTCAAAAAAACACTTTGCTTTTAACGCTGTAGACTTACGTCCACCACCGCCGCCACTGCCGTTGGGGTCAGATCTCGTTTTCGTCGGCTTCGAGACGTATTCACGTAGCAAATGTGCGTAAAGTATATCGTCGATATAGAACATTGTGCCTAAATTATAGACGAATACTTCGCTTTCGGTAATCTTGGCGTTATTGACGCTAGTTGCATTGCTTCCTGGATTGCGGGTGATCTTAATGTGGCCACCACCAATAGTTTCGAATACCTCGTTATCACGTAAATCACGATCATACAGACGTCCGCGTACAAAGTGATTGAGTAACATCTTGATGCCACGTGGAGAGGCCTATTAGTATTAATGGGGAAATATTTGTGGTAAGAGTTACAAATGATAATTGATTCATACCTACCATTACATCGTCAGATAGTCTGTCGAAACCAAGTCGTTCAAAGGCTCTGTCCTCGGGCACGAAGAAGGTGTAATTGGCGCCAGAAACATGTGGTGCTATTTCGGCGTTGTTCAAGTATCTGTAAAGAGAGCAGTAATAAGTTAACGATTGATAAGAATGCGCGAGACTACGATCCAACAACGAGTCGAAATTATTAAAATTTACTATCGAAATTCGGAGTCAGCGGCCTCAACTTTAAGAGAGCTACGTCCAATTTATGGTCGTCATAATCATCTAGTCAGATCAACAATTGAACGTCTAGTGGAAAAATTTGAATCCACAGGCACAGTGTAAAATGTTCCTATGCCAGTGGGACAAAGGAGTGTCCATAACATCGAGAGTATTGCTGTCGGAGTCTTTGGGCTGTACTTCTTCCGTGATGATCAAGACCGGCAGGTTACTGTGAATGGGAATCGCTACCGCTTAATGATAACCGAATATTTTTGGCCCGAATTAGATGACATGGACTTGTACAACCTTTGGTTCCAACAGGACGGCGCCACAAGGCATATAGTTGATGTCACAATCGATTTATTGAAAACCAAGTGGGGTGAACGCGTTATCTCACGAAATGGTCCAGTCCTCGGTGGTGCGATTTGACGCCGTGGGACTATTTCCTGTGGGCTACGTCAAGTCTATGGTATATGCCGACAATCCAGCGACGATTGATAAACTTCGTACGAATATCGAACATGAAATTGCAGCAGTATCGGCCGATTTATGCTTGAAAACCGTCGAAAATTGGGTTCAGCATGTGGACTTCTGCCCGTGGTGACCATGTTAAAGAAATCGAGTTCTATACATATTGGTATCGAATAGGAATAAGTAACTTTTGTAGCGCTCTTATTGAAATACCTGTTATAAGCAGGTTAGTTAGAAGAACAAAAACTATTGTTCGGGCACGTCAAAGTGTATTGGAAGTTCTTGCAAAAAGCCCACGATAGACAATTAATAAAAAAGCTTGTCATTGGAAGCTCATCAGTCAACTTATTTTAACTAATAAATCAAAAATCTGTTACTAATTAAATCGAAATTGGTCTGTTGGGTTAAGAACAAAGCGATTGAGAATCTCCTCCATCCAATTGACTGCTCACTGTATCTCAGGAAATCAAACAGTTGCTACGCATCGAACACTAAGTCAATATTATTTGATTTTCGAACCTTAAAAAATAAAATCTGTATACCCCTGACTATATTATATTGGTAATACTCAACAAATCGCGTTAAGAAAGGAGATAAAGATTAATTCAGAATCGTGAACTTTGGGGGGCAGGCTATCTTAGCTACACGTATAAATCTCCAGTTAAAATGTTTGCGACTGTGCTCAACATTAAAGAACAACTGCGCGATTACCTTGTGATTTGAGTAAATCTAGGGTCGCGCTCCAATGCCAAAAATGAGTGCGATAAAAACTGTGCGCCAAACCATGGAAAGGCCAGAAGTGGTGGTGTCTCTTTGTCCTTGTGCATCTGCATGAATATATATGTAAATTAATACACGCACACACCATTTTGACGATTTTGCTGCTTTACTTTACCTGATGTAATTTGGATACCACAGCTTCTGACACAAACAAAACCTCGGAGATTAGGAACACTTGATTGCCATTTACCAGTGCATAGTCCGACATAATAGATACATTGTTCACAGTTGGACTAGCTGAAAGAGAAGCGGGAGATGTTACATTTCAGCAAACTAATGCCAGCCAACAAAGGAAGAACACAAACTGGGTAATTGCACTTACGATGTCCGCGGAAGACCACATTCTCGCCGCCCATAGTTCGCACCACCATCTGGTCGGTGCTCTTCACTTCGGCCATGCGCAACGGATGTTGTGTGGGCAGGAAGTGGTTACGCAACACACTCTCGGTGAACTCATGCACGCTGAACGGGTAAAAGCCCCAGTCGATGGGATGCCAACGTTGAAAAGCATTGTCGGACGGTATGAGTATCGTGTAGGAACCGTCGTCCATTATCTGTGTGAGATTGCTTTTGGACAGGAAATGCTGAAAAACTTTGGTGCCACTTTTCATGCTGTTGAGGAAGGACATCAGTGGGCTGGATTTGGATTCTTTTAGTATGGGCTCGATTTTGGCGTGCGTTGTGGTGGTGTTGCGCATCTCCAAACGTTGCGGTTCATTGTAACGGCTACAGATTGAGAATTCAAGTGTGTGTGTGAGAAAAGTTTTGCGAACTTTTAGTTTATTTTAGTGAAATGGGTATTTCGTTTTCAAGTACTCGTAAACAAGTTTGCACTTACCTATTCGATTCTTGTATGTTGCGTTTGGAATAGGGCGATTTCCGGTCACCAAGATAGCCATCGATTGCAATTGCCATTAAGTTATCATTCAGGCGAATTTTGTACAAAACGAGATAACCATTTAGTAACCACAAACTATTTTGTGATTTTTCCACTTTATATAAGTGGATTTTATGACCGTTGCCATTGCCGTAAACATCTTCATCGGCAAAGTTATCATAGACTTTTCCAGGCACTAAATGTTCCAGCATGAATTCTTTAAGTCGTGGCTTTTCGATGGTACGCACGTCGATTTTGGGTATAATCATGGTAAACTGAGTGTCTGTTGATTAGATGAGTTTTTTTAAGTATTGATTTTACAAAATAAATATTCATATAGGTTAGGTTATACTGGCAGTTTGCCACGCAATACATTGACCAACTGGTCCTTAGTAATAAGATATAAGGTTTCAGTGTTATGATACAGAAAATAGAGGTTTTTGTACCAACAAAAATTAGTAACTATTTAACAAGTTCATAGGAATTTATTTAGATAAGTCCATTCGGTTCTTCGGTTAAGGAACTTATAAGCTTCAAGTGGTCTATTTGTGCACTAAAACCAATGTTTACAATCTGGATGCAACCAAAGTTTAACTAAGAATATATGTAAGCCCTCTGAGCACTACTCCATGGCAATCACCGTTTGACTTATGCAGGGTGTAACCCAGTCTTTAAATTTGTCGCCATTTACGTAATAAAGTCTTGACAACTCTAAAAAAAACAAAAAAAAAAATAAATATAAAAAAATCTATAGCTGACAGCTTATTGAACATTATTTCAAAATTGATGAAAGCTTAGCGGTTTGATTTGTTGAGCAAAATAATCCTAAACAAAAAAGCATATTTTCACCTTGATGGGTTTGTTAATCGCCAAAATTGCCGATTTTGGGGTTCTGAGAACCCATGTGTCACTGTTTGGTACAAATTTGCAGTTGGAGGCATATTGGACCTTACTTTGACTCTTACAGCGACATGATAACCCAGTTACTTTTGCGGAAATTGGATGATATTAATGTGGCCAATATGAGGTTTCAACAAGACGACAGCCCGTGGAATATTTCAATTACATTATCATAGTTTTCCAAGTACTCAACGTACTTTCCTGTGATTAGACCAATCAGATTTCTTTTTATGGGATTATTTATTTGGCATTGAATCCAACAAAACGTTTTACATTTTTGCCAGCGCTTCTTCTTCCAATCCTCGAAACATTTCTCAAACTCGACCTTTGGAATAGCCTTTTACTCTTTCAGCTATTTTCATCTTGTAAATCGACGACACTTTAAGATTCACTTTATTTAAAAAAAAAAAAAAGCATACGGAGCCATGTCTGGTGAATATGGAAGCTGGGGTCTATGGTAATAAACTTTTATTATTAATTTTTATACCCTGAACAGGGTATATTAATTTTGTTACGAAGTTTGTAACACCCAGAAGGTAGCGTCGGAGACCCCATATAGTATATATTAGGTTGTCGAAAAAGTCTTGCGGTATTTTTATTGAATTTTCAATTGTTCATAAAATTTTTTTGATGACTCATGCCCAGCTCTTGACCGATGCTGCGGCTGCTACTATGCCGG